GCAGCGCCCAAGCCAGCCGTGAGTTTAGGCCTCTTCTCCTTCTCCTTTAGCGTTTAGGGTTTAGAGGCATGGGCCCATGCTTGGTGTAAGAGGAAAGGAGAAGGAGAAAAGGCCAAAACTTTGGCCTATTTGAAGTATGGGCCGAGAGCTTTTTTTTTTTTTTTTTTTTGTTTTTTTTTTGTTTTTTTTGCAGATGGGCTCAGGCTCGTGCCCTAGGGAGGATATGAAGGGCCTTGTGCCCTTTTGGACTTTGCGGCTGGGTTTTGTGCCGTGCCTTTTCTAGAGCTGCTACTTTTTTTTATTTTTTGAACAACCGTCTAATGAATCTTCCTTGTACTTTTTGTAGAATTCCTTCAAGTATGTCTTCCTTAAGCCACAAGAATGATGATGGTGTGACGCCGTTGTATCGTTAAGGCGGATCTTTGAGCAAGGTTGGCTACTTCAAAGTTGCTCATTTCAAGATTAGCTCCAATGATTTGTTTAGAGACTTAAGGCATATTGGCATGCCATTCCGTTGGGAGTGCGTGTGAAGCGAGTTAAGGATGGTAGCAGCCGTGAGCCATGTGATGGGGCTCGAAGAGCCATCAAGTTCCACCCCTACTATTTTGTGTTAGGGTTTACTTTTCCTATGCCACGTTTCTTCCAAGAAGTGCTTTGCTCCATGAGATGTACCCCTGCCCAATGTTCTCCGAACGCAGTTCGTGTGATGGTGGGATTCCATAATCTAAGCCAATTTTTTGACTTAGATCTAACTATCAACGAATTTGGTACTTCTTTGACGTAGGTCACATTAATGGAGTCAGGCAATTGTGATTTCGCCATAGGCTTTTTGATAACTCGAGTAAGGGAGATCATGACTGGACCAATGAGACTTTGGAGATAAGTGGAGAATGGGAGTTTGATTTTTCCCCTGAGCTGCGTGTTCCCACGATCTTCATACCTGGTAAGTTAGTTACTTAATCTTTCAGCTACTTCGTATTGTGCTAAGTTGCGAGTTGCTCTTTAATTTTCTGATTATCCTTTGCTATTTTTGTAGATTCAGAATTTGGCTCAACTCCTAAGGCTTCTTCGGACATGAAAAAAGTGCATGTTGCTCTAGGTATCCCCTCCTAATATCGTGAGTCGCATTGGTTGCTTAGTCCCCTTCATAAGGAAAAAGGTGGGTTGCCCCCAAAGGAGGAAATAAAATAAATAAAGGCAGAGGCGTTAGCTCGTCCTATCACTGTGATGGAGCCTGCTACAAAAGAAGGTGGAAAAAAAAAAAAAGCATTCCCTGCCTACTCAAGGGACGCCTGCTAAAAAGAAACCGAGGACTGCTCGTGAGGGTTTTCTGGCTGCTCAAGAGATACCTGCCAAGAAGAAACCGAAGATAGCTTCTGCTACTCACGAGGGTTCATCGGCTGCTCCCAAGTTTGTGATTGACTTGACTTCCTCAAAGAGCGAGAAAGAAAGGTTTGCTGGATTTGTGCTGGTGGCTCATGCTGTTCCGAAGGCTACTAGCTCGATTATTGATAGGATTGCCCAGCGTAGAAGTTCGTCCATACCTCCGGTGCTGAAGTTTGTGTCACAGTGTTTATCTAGGGCTAAGTCTGGTTCACCTTTGGAGAGGCTTGCTACTATGAAGAACGACAAGGTGTCCTTGCCTGCTAAAGTGGTGCCAAAGCTCATCCCTTCTGCTGCTGAGACCAACTCATCTGTTGAGAAGATGAAGACTGCTCGTGCGGGCAATTGTGAGAAATCCACCAAGTCCGTCTCTAGGGAAGTTGCTAAGATTTGTGTGCTTTTGAAACTAGATCTACTTGAGGACATGGATGTCTGTGCCAAGTTTATTGACGGTGTCAAGGGGATTGTTGTCCTGAGTTCCTTTACGAAGCATCCGGCCGGGTACAGGAGGACTGTTCTACTAGCCATTATACAAAAAATAGCGATTCTGGTAGCCGAGTCCATGCTTCTTGATTAAGAGGATACCAAGGCTGCCAATGAGGTGGCAAGAACTGTGGCAGCCGAAGCTTATTCCTCAGTCGAGAAAGTCAAGAAATTGGAATCTGAGCTTGCTGCTTTAAAGGGGTCTAATGTCTCTGCCCCTACTTCTCTGCAGCTTGAGACTGCTCGCCAAGAGATTGTGGATTGAAAGACTAGGCTAGACGCAATCCAAGTAAAGTATGAAAGTGCAAATAAGGAGATCGAGTGTTACATACCTCAGATTCAAGATCTTGAGCGATCCATATCTGAATTCCACTCTGCTACTTATGGAAAGGATGAAGAATTGATGTCGCTTACAACCAAGTGATCCACTTCAAGAAGGTTGTTGATAAGCTTGAGCCTCAAGTGTTGGAACTCCAAAGTGCCTTGATGATCAACGATAATTTGAAGAAAGAAGTGGTGGAGTTGCAGCAGGTTCGTGATCGCCTGCTCGAGTATTAAGCCGTCTGGGGTGACAAGAACCATGCCTACGCCTGAACCTTTATAGTTGGATGCTCCATCAACATGCAAAGGCGAAAAATCTCTATCGGTTGGAGCATGCACGGCTAAGGTGTGTTCGGTTGCTTCTAAGGTTTCGTTGGGCCATTCTGTTGCATCCCCTAAGCTAGGCATGAATTCCGCTATGAAGTATGCCAAGGCTTGGGCCTTTATTGCTATACGAGATAAAAAAACTAACCATATTGGCCAAGTTCTAACGCCCACTTCATCACTCGTTGAGAAGCGTTCGGACCATGTAAGATTGATTGTAGAGGATACTGAGTCATGACGATGATCGTATGAGTTTGAAAGTATAGTCTGAGCTTTCGAGCCGCAACAATTAGAGCCAAAATTAATTTTTCAATCCTCGAATATCTCGTTTCTGCATCGAGAAGAGCTTTAGAAGTGTAGAATACCAGTAGTTGGGCCCTTAGCTCTTCTCGTATGAGGGCAGAGCTTACTGCTACTTCGGAGACTACCAGGTAGATGTATAAATCCTCCACTGCTTCTAGCTTGGATAGTAAAGGAGGTGATGTAAGATACTTCTTTAGGTCTTGGAAGGCTTTCTTGCACTGTTCATCCCATTTGTCTCGTTGTGCCCTCTTGATAATCTTGAAAAAGGGCTTGCATCAATCTGTGGACCGTGAGAGAAAACGGTTAAGGGCAGCTGCTCGTCTGGTCAAGCTTTGGATCTCCTTTAAGGTAGTTGGAGACTTCATCTCTATAATCGCTCTGATTTGCTTGGGATGTGCTTCAATTCCTCGTTGGTTTACTAAGTACCCAGGAATCGGATTGAAGATACTCTAAATGTGCATTTGGTAGGATTGAGCTTCATCTTGTACTTTCTAAGGATATTGAAAGTTTCCGCCAAGTTGCAGATATGATCTGATCACTGCTTGCCCTTTACCATGATGTCGTTAACATAGACGTCCATGGTTACCCCAATTTGCTTCTTGAACATCATGTTAACTAACCTTGGTAAGTGGCTCCTATGTTTTTGAGGCTAAAGGGCATGGCCTTGTAGCAGTAGTTGCCTCGCTCAATTACGAACGCGGTTTTCTCCTTATTAGGCTCATATATGGCTATTTGGTTGTATCCTAAGTATGCATCTACGAAACTGAGCAGCTAGTTCCCAGAGGTTGAATCTACCAATAAATTGATCCAAGGGACAGGATAAAGATCTTTTGTTTATGCTTTGTTGAGGTCGGTGTAGTCTACGCAAACCCTCCATTTGCCCTTCTTTTTTTTCATGACTAGCATGACGTTAGCAAGGCATACTGAGTGTGCTACCTCTTCTACAAATCCAGCCTTTAATAGCTTGTCAATTTCTGCCTCAATGATCGCTACTCGCTCGGGTGCGAAATGTCTTCTTTTTTGGATCACCGGTTTGACTGCGGGATCAACGTGCAGCTTGTGGTAGGCTACCTTGGGGTTGATGCCAGGCATGTCAAACGGTGACCATGCAAAAACGTCTCGATTTTTCCTAAGGAAAGCCGTTAGTTCTTCCTTCTCAGCTGGGTTTAGATGTGAGCCGATTGTAGCCATCTTTTCCGGTTGTTGGGGATCAAGAATGATATCTTCAGAGTTCTCTTCAGGTTTCCATCCCATCTCATCTGCTTGGGCTCCATCTTCTTAATCTGTTTGCTGTAATTGCTATATGGTAGCTTCTTCATCCCTTTGGATCTCGGTAGCCTCTATGGGAGTAAATGTCTTCTTCTTTGATTCCTTCAATACTTGCGTAGTGCATCGTCGAAATGTGGCCTGGTCAAACTTGATTTCTCTGACTCCTTCTCCCAGGATACAAAATCAGATATTTTGGTATTTGACGAAAGTAACGGCATCCAGCTTGATCAACCAAGGTTTCCCAAGAATCCCATTTTAGGGAGATGGGTCGTTTATGATCGTGAACATCTATTTTGAGACAACTGGCGATGCTTTCAAGTCAAGTGTGATATGGCCGATGGCAGTTGAGATGTGCCCGTTGAATCCAGTGAGTACCTCTGCTCGACGTATAATTATGCTTTCTAGTCCCATCTTCTGAATGATTGTGAGTTGAGGTAGGTTGACTGCACTTCCATTGTTGACCATCATTTTGTCAACTATAGCATAGGCTAGTTGGACAGATACTACTAGTGCGTCGTCGTGTGGAAAATCAACACCTTCTGCATCCTGCTCGGTAAAGCTAATGATGGGTCTAGGTTGGATGTCGGCTACTTGGATCTGGGAGACTAGTAAAGCCTGGTGAATCTTCCTTTTTATTTTTAATTGCTGGTGGCCCCCAAGTGTTCGGATTCGACGAAGATGACATTAATTCAAATCATCTTGGTTGACGGCTCCTCATCGTTGTCTGCATTTCTTCCAGGCTGCGCAGCTGGCTTGTTTAAGTATCTGTCAACCTTTCCTTCTTTCACGAGTTTCTCTATGTAGTTTTTCCAAGTGTAGCAATTGTTGGTTGTGTGTCTGGGACCTTAGTAGAATGTGCAATACTTGGTGTGATCCAACTTGGAAGTATCTCCCTTTGATTGTTTTGGCAATTTGAATCATGGCTCGTTCTTAATGTCGCGAAGGATTTGGTGGATCGAAATTGAGAACTTAGAATAGTTCTTGGTCGCCATGCTTTCTTTGTTCTTGGGGCCATCCTTACGCTTGACCTCCTGCCTGCTTTTGCTGGACTGCTTCATGTCCTCCTTTCTTTGAGCCATTGCCGACTCTTTTCGAGGCTGCTCGGGCATCTTCTCTGTTCGTCGAGCCTCATCCCAAAGTGCATGATTCTTTACTAGAGCAAATGAGTCTACTAGAGTTAGATCTTCTTTAATCATCATTTCTCCGAACAGTGGGCGGTCTGCTGGGAGTCCTTTTTGGAAGGCTGCACTCGCTATCGAGTCGTCGCACACGACGATCTTCGCCTTCTCCATTTTGAACCTCTTCACATAGTCGCGGAGCGACTTCTTTGGGTTTTTCTTCACATTAAATAAGTGGTCGGACTTTTTCTTGATCGAGTGGTAGGATGAGTATTCTTTGGTGAAAACCAAAGAAAGATCATTAAAACTTCGGATGGATCGTGGTGGCAAGGTATGAAACCAATCTTGCGCCTCGCCTTGCAAAGTAATGGCGAAGATTTTGCACATAAGGGCATCCTTGCTCCGATAAAGGATCATCGTGCTTTGATAATGCTTCAAGTGCCTTTCCAGATCTCTATCTCCTTTGAAAGATGTAAAGTGTGGCATGCTAAACTTACGTTGAGGCTCTGCCTGCTCGATCTCGTCCGTGAAGGGTGACCTACTTATGTTGGTCATATCCCATTATAGTGCTTCATCGGCCACTTTGTTGCATTGGAAATCACGCAATCATTAATTAAAAAGTTCCTCTACCTCTTCTTGGATTTGCTTTTGTTGGGATAGTAGAGCTCTCGGTTGTTCCTGGTCTTGTTTTACTGGTCTAGGCTGTTTTTCTATGTTCTCGACTCGTCTACCCCACGGTAGCAGGGTATGTGGTCCACTCTTGACCGACGAAGGAATTCTTGGCAGACTACCAGTTGAACTTGAACCGGACTGAGTGACCGTTTCTCTCCGTCCATCATGCTGCCTACTCCGATGTGATATGAATGATACTCCTTACGGGTCTAGCCACTGGACAATTCGTCTGGAAGGCGGCTCATGTTGATTATCGGAGTGTGGCCCCAACCGCTAATGTATGCTCATTCGTAGGCCTAGTCGAGAGTGCATGCTCTTTCGCGCGCTTAGACGGGAGTATACTCTATCTCGGGGGCCTAATCGGGTATGTACGTTGCTCGAATGCTGGGCTCGTGGTTGGTCGAGTGGCTGCTTGCCAGGGCGCTGCTGGAGAGGCTCTTCGTCTACCCTTGTCCGAGTGTGGGACACCTCGTTTGGGGCACGTTGGATCTTAGTGCTATAGGAGTTGATTCACCAAGGTCGTTTGTTATGCAAGGGCACTCATTAACTCTATGACTTGTCAGCACAAGTGTTGTTAGCCATTTGGATTGGAAGTGCTTGGAAGAAATGTGCTTCCTTGAGCAATGGAAGGGTGGTAAACTCCAGGCACGAGATTTCAATTGGGAAATGTCCAATCCTTGGAGAAATATGGTGAAAATGCCCCTGGCTCAATGTTAGGTCCGGAAGGTTGAGATAGTCTTGGGACGACTTGGGCTGCTTAGGAAACCGCAGGAGCAGGCGGGGTCGTGGAAGCATGCTTGGTCGCGGGAGCAGGCTGCTCAATATTGGATGCATATGAGTGCGAAGCTTAGGTCATGGCTTTGGTGCCATGGGTCTTGGATGGCTCGGCTTGGGCTTGGGCCCATGCAAGCTTTGATGGCAAGGCTCGAGCCATGGTAGTGGTGCCATGGACCTCGCTGCAGGTAGTGGTGATCGTGGTGGCCACCGCAGTGGTTGCCATGGTGGAGCGTTATAGCAATGGTGCCGCTTCTATGACCACATTGAGCCTCGTGGATCGTCGTGGTCCCATTTCTTGAATATTAGAATTTTTGCTTGTGGAATTTTCTAAATTTCTAGCCATTGTATTTCTCTTTTACGTTTTATTAAAGAATCTTTGCAAATACAAAATTCTAAAAATCACGACGTACGAAAAATCTACGAATGGACAAGAAAATAGAAAAACCTTTTGATGCAGGAGTCTTCTACGAGTGTGTGACTCTTCTCTCAATGAAAGCACCAATTTGTGGATGCAAATTTCTGCCTCCTTCTTCTTGGACAAAATTGCACCTACAAAACAATTAACACCTTAGGGTCAAGGCCAAGAACCTCACGCACCCATGATGAATAGGGGGGGAGGGGGCCTTTGGCCAAAGAACCTCCAATGCCGAATTTAGAATTTGGAGAGAAAAGTGTTTAGAGAGTTTTTGGAGTTTTGTAAGAGTGTGGACTTAGGTTTTTAGAGAAAATGGTGTTCAATATATAGAGCATCGCCGGTCCCCCTTTTGATAAAAGGTGGCTGGCCCTTTGGGGTATTTTTGTGCGAAATGGGTGATTTAATTGGTAATTAATGGATTAATTAGGAATAAATCCATTAATTAGCCAATTAACTCAATTTATATGGAATGTTTTGAAGGTTATGAAATAATTACCTTGTGAAAAATATAGGATGAGGATGAATGAAATAACTTGGAATTTGTTACTTATTTTGGGCATTTTTGACTTGATTGATGAATGATTGTCCACTGGTCGCAAGTAGGAATTCCGGTGTGCCTCAAGGGTAATTTTATCTTTTTATTACCCAAAAATGTACATGTCGCATCTTGATTATTTTTGGCTACACAACTATGGCAAACAGATGCAACAATTGCAAGAGGGAGATTACCCGTGTTTCCGAACGCAGTCATGATTACGGTGAATCGAACAAACCGCGGAGGAAGGCCTACAAATCACTGCAACCAGCAAACCCAACACAGACCTGATCGCCGTACTTATTACAACATTAACAGGAATGAACCACCAGTTTACCAAATTCTTTAGACTAACTGATGGCCCTAGAATCGTGAAGATCAAGCAGGGTAAAAAGACGGCAAATACCAACTTACTGAGAAATGTAAAAGTGAGTTTAGGGACAAGTTGGCATTTTGGGTGGGCAAGAAGTAAACCAATGTCAGCCATTGAAATGAGCTTCAGCAGAGGCAGTACTGCACTCAGCAGCAACTCTCCTTTTAGATTGTTTTCTTGCATTGCAAGTAAAATCTCCATATATTGTTGATCCCAGATGATAAAACTACTAATTCAGCAAACTTTGATCAAATCAAATTGAGAATGGGAGATGTGGGTTCTGACCTTTCAATCTGAAGAAATCATTTGGTGGTCGAGGTCGATTCAAGGATCTGAAAAGGAACATGAACCAAATCTTAGAGACGTTCTTCTGTGCAAATGCAGAGCACTTATTAGAACCTACCTATATCAACAACTTTTTTTTTTCATTTACTCAATTATAACAATATATTAGAGTTTAATTTTCAGACGAAATGAGTGTTAAATATGCATTAATATTAAGTTTAGATGGTGGATCCAAAAAAAAGTTCAGACGTGGCAGAAGAAACGGATAATCCAGAAGAGCCTTACGACTTGAAGCAAATCATATACTGTAATGAGAGTTGAAAATTTGGAGGTGGAGGGGCATCACATGATGCACGTGATGTCTTCTATGATTGTCTGTGGCTATCTTTAATAAAAGTTTGAAGATCTTTTCAGATCTTTCTTCTAATATGATAATATTGATTTTCTAAAAAAAAAAAATATTGATAATATTGATACAAAATAAATTAATAAAAATATTAATAATAAAGACAGGCACGATTTATGTTATTGACAATTTAACTGAAATGACACAAACCAATAATATTTATGTACGGTGGTACGAGTTCAATGCTCACCAATTTTCTTATTTTCTAACAACTAACTATTTAGACCACTGCAATCTTTTGTTAAAAAAATAATATATATATATATATATGTAAGACAAGAACAAGGAATTATAAGATCATCTTCAATGAGAAATGCAAAATGCCTTAAAATGGACATTTTAAATTTTTTGGTGGCCGGAAAGCTCTCCAATAAAAGTATGAAAAATATTCATACTCGCCAGCAAATACAAATAAAAATGTAGATAAACACTTCTTTTTTTACATCTTTAGGGTGAGCTCCGTGTAGACCTGGCAAACGGGTAATGTTTGCCATGTTCGTGTCATTGTTGTGACACCTACTATCTTAGCGAGTCATGTTGTGTCACACCCATTATCTTAATGGGTTCTTAACAAGTTGAGTGACCCGACTTGTTATGACCCATTAAGAAAAATATTTTTTTTCTTCTAAATTGGCACATATCACATTGCCACATAAATATTACTTCAAAATCTAAAAACACATTTGTCGTTAAGTACTCAATACTCCAAAATAAGAGCCAAATAAAAAATACCATTAATACACTATTACAAAATATCAAATGTGCAAGGATATGCAAAATGAAGGAGAGTCTGATTTAGGGTTGAGAAAAACATTGGACATCAATTTTCTAAATTTAATATATATATATATATATATATGTTAACTTTCAGTTCAGTTCAAGATTAATCCTATGTTGTTAATTATAGTGTTTTTTAGTGGTATAAAATTATGAAATTAATATTTTTCTTATCGTGTAATGAGTTAACCATGTGTATACTTTTACCGACCCGTTATCTTAATAGGTGCTTATTGGGTCACCCGATAACGACCCGATTCGTTATTCTATCGACCCGAAAACCTGTTAATTGCGTTTCGTTTCGTATTAAATTAACAAGTCATGTCAGAAATTGCCAAACCTAGTTCCATAATAGAAAGAAAAATAAATGAAATCGCAATTTTTCTTTTTAACTATTGAAGTAGAATCAACATTTACACATGCCTGAAATGCAAAACGTAGTTTTTAAATCTTAGATTTACTTGTCTCCACTAAGAGATGCTCTAATAATCATTAGCCAATGATGTAGCTATTCATGTTAAAATATAAGTGATGTTATGGTTTTTTTTTTTTTTTAATTTTTTAATTTTTAACAAATAAGTGATGTTATGGTTGGATTTTTGTACAACATAAGTTACCATTATTTGCGATTCTTTTTGGAAATTGTTATTATCACTTAAAAAATCTCATTTGAAACTTCAAACTTTCTATAATTAGAAAAAAAAAAATACATTTATGAAAAGTATAAAGTGAGATTTTTGAAGTGCTAATAATAGTTCTCTTCTTTTTATATAATCATTAATTCATTTGTAAGGGATACTGTTGACTCTAAAAATTACAAAACCTACGTGGCTCGCAGGCCGAGTAACTAATAAGCTAACTACGTCCTTCGATTGAATGCGGGGCGTGCCAACTCGTCGGCCGAGCTCGGCCGAGGAGTAAAATTCGTTGATGTGACGTTGAGCGCGTCGTTGACTTCTCTATCTTGCGATTGCGACCGAGGAAGGAACACTCTCGGTCTCTGGGTTCTATAGCCTGAAGACAAGGCTACTAATTTTGCGGAGTTCACAAATCGTCGGAGCCCGATTCGGTCACTATGATTCTATTCGTAAGAGTATAAGCACGTCGAATCGAGACCAAACTATATGGGCACAGGTACTCAAATGTGATGTATGTCTTGATGGTAAATGTAGTTCGGCCGTCGAAATGCCGAACCCTGAAACTTACTTGCGAGTATCTAATCATAAAATCACTCGGCGTCCAGTACGCCGAGTAACACAATTCGTAACACCTAACTATGCCGAGAAGGCTAGCAAGGTGACCTCTACCAACAAGG